ACCTCCCCCCGCCCACCCCGGGCGCCTGGACGGTCTGCCCCGAGACCGGCTTCTCACTCGCTCCGGGAGCCTCTTCGCTCGCTTGTGACATCCCGGGCGGACTGTCTCGTCGCAGCTCCCCACATCCAGCTTCCAGTGAGGTCCCCACCCCACTGGTCCCAAAGAGAAGGGCAGGACGCAGGCCTGGCCACTGGCTTCCATCTGCACAGCCTTTTTCTAGTCTCGGGGGCACGGAAGCCTTGCCCTTATCACTCATCAGTGCTCTCCTGGATTTGGTTCTGTTTATATGACGTCTGGCCTTTCCCCTTAAAGGCCTTGGTTTTCTTAAATCAAAAGCCAATGATGGACTTCTTTTCTCTCTGCCTTAAGAAGCAAGTGTAGGCCAATCAACAGCTGCCTCGGGTGTCATTTTCTGGTTCAGTTTGTCAGCACTGGGAGGAGTGGCTTTTGAGAAGATGAAAAGCAATACCAAGGGTAGAGGGAAATATCAGAGAGTATTTTAGTATTTTTTTATAGCGTGCTTCTGTCACACAAAGGACTTGGGTTGCCAGATCTTTGTCCTATAGAGGAAGGCATGTCTCAGAAGTAAGGGGCTTCTCCAGTATCACACAGCTAGGAATTGGGGATTCTGGGACCCTATCAATATTTGCTGAAGAAATAAAATGAACCTGGCGAGCAGCAGCCAGCCTCCTGATCGTCTTGCCCACGTTATGAAATTGAGAAGGGAGCACTAGCAGAGAGGCGGCCTGGGATGCCTGCACTTTCCTGCCTCCTGACTCTGCATGTTGATCTTTTGCCCTCTCTGCCAGGACTCCTGAGAAAACCTGCTGGAGGAGCCCAGGAAGTAAATCACACCCCGTTCGAGGAGAGCAGGGTGGGGTCGGGCCCCCCAGCTCTCAGAACTCTGGGGGCTCAGGAGCAGGCAGCCAAGAGTGGAGGGTAACATAGCTTGTGGAGAGCTTCCTGCCAGCAGGCCTCCTGGGCCAGTTCGGGGCTTTGATGGCTGTCCTTCCTGGGCTCTGGCCCTGGAATTTGCTCAGGCAGAAGAGTCACCAGCTGCATATTTGTAATATTTCTGATATTCCGGAAAGCGTGTGTGCCTCGTGCTTCTCTGTAAACCTCACCTTGTGCCCTCTCTGGCCCTGCACACTGAGCCGACAACAACCTGCAGTTAATTTTGGCCTGGAATGGGGAAATCTTGGCTAGAAAAATACAATAGGTAGTATTGTCCACACTCGCTATGTGAGGTTTGAACTTATTCCAGATGCTCATTCAGTGCAGCTGACGTTTTCGTTTTGTTTGCAGAGTCCTCTGCTTGGCACTAAGTGGGTTAGCAGGGCTGGTAAGAAATGACCCTTTGCCTCAAGGAGCTTACGATCTAGTGAGGGAGACACAGTACGGAACAGATAGTATGGTGAGCCATAAAACAGTAATTGTGACTAAACAAAAATTAAGCAGTGTCAGATGCTGAGGGCTTAAGTGTTTGAACTGTACTTTGGAGGAGGGGAGGAGACTTGGAAAAGGGCATGCTGGGAGACATGGGGCTGGAAGTTGTAAGGGTTGGAGGAAGAGATTGAGTGTAGCAAGATTTGGAGGCTGTGGGGGTAGTAATTTGATCATAGAGAGAATTAAGTTTGGAACATAGAATGGGGCCAGATTGTGTAGATCCTGTCCTATGCTGCCTGGGATATTCACTCTGTAGTTAGTGAAAAAACCATGGACGTTTAGATGGCAGGAAGACGATAAAGGTATTTTTCTTAGGAGAGAACAGGGTGAAGTGTCAGTAAGAGGAAGGAGAGACTCCAGGCAGAAACTGGTTGGGAGAGAGTTGCACTGAGTAGGTGAGGAGCTCTGAGGGCTGAGATAAATGCAGTCTGGAGGAGGAGGAGGTCCCTGTGTGGAGCCACCAAGCCTGGTGTGAGAAAGGGGTGCTAAGGAGAAACGGGCGCTCAGAATCCAAGCCTGTGTGCCTGGACAGACGGTACGGCCAAGGAACATGGTGGGAAGAGATGGGCAGAGTCTGAAGTGCCGGTGGATTGTTGCTGGTGGGCTGTTCAAAGGAGCTTATAGCTTGGAGCTCAGGAGAGAGAGCTTGAGGTTCTAGCTGAAAGTTGGTCTCAGTGTGACCGAGCGTATGGGAGTTGTGCTGGCTGAAGTCACTGTGGGAAAGTGTGGAACATGTAGAGGAGGTTGCTGCTGGCACACCCGTAGCCATAGAGTGAGATGGAGCAACCACAGGAAGAGGCGGTCCCAGGAGAGAGCAGCTGCCAGGTAGCCATGGAGCAGTGTGCCGAGGAGGTGGTGAGCAGCACTGTCAGTTGCTGCAGCGGCCACATGGGAAAAGGACAAGCTGAGAAATGAAAGGGAAGGATCGAGAGCATGGAAGGGAAGTGGAAGGACAGAAAGAGGGAAGGGTTAGGGTGAGGAGGCTCAGAGCAACCTGGAAGGGTCAAAGAACCTCACAGTGAAAAGACATGAGGGGCCCTGGCCGGTGTGGGTCAGTTAGTTGGAGCATCGCCCCATGCATCGAAGGGTCTCCGGTTTGATTCCCGGCCAGGGCATGGACCCAGGTTGTAGGTTTGATTCTTAGTTGCGGCATATGCAGAACGCAACCCATTGATGTTTCTCTCTCTCCCTCTCCCTTCCTTTCTCTCTGAAATCAGTAAAAACATATCCTCAGGTAATGATTTAGAAGAAAAAAAGAAAAGATATGAGGGGACTTGGAACCCGTGCTGCAGGAAGTGGGGTGGTGAGGCACCAAGGGCTGGATGTACTGAGGAGCAGTAGGCAGGCCCTAAGCTGGGATGCCACTGGGCAGGGCTAGTGGAGCTCCTCAGCCCCTTTCTGGGACTCTCTGTTCGGTGCCTGGCACCCTTGGAGACATTGGCTTTGCCTGAGGCTTAGGAATCTTGGTAGAAGGTCCCAGGGAGCTGAGGAGAACATCTGTAGGCCTCCGTTTCCCCAGCATACAAAGAAAGCGTTGGCCTGAACGATCTTGCAGCTCAGGCTGCCTGAACTCGTATAAGATGGCTGGTTCTGGGTCCAGGCTACGTCAGGAGGGCCAAGGTGGGAAGGCCACACAGGGACAGGGAAGGACTTGTCGAGAGATCCTGGCACTCAGGGTCTAGGACAGAGATGTTCTATACTGGTGAGGTCTAGGGTGGGGTTGGCCATTCAAGTCGGTCAGCCATCATGAACCTCACTGTGTGCTCAACGCTTCCACTCACCTGATTTCACTGAGTCTTTTTACCCCTCAGAGCAGCCCTGTGAAGGTGGAGATCCTATCTTCACTGAGGAATTAGATAACCTGACAAGGCTACATGGTAATTAGCAAAAGAACCTGCCTGCCTAGCTCCACTCCCAGACTCTCCCTACTCTGGCCTCCCTTTCCCAGCGCACTTTGAACACTACAGGTCCCTAGAGCCTGGGAAGAAAAGTAACAGGTAACACTATTTGCTGGAAATTGGGTAAAGTTCTTTAAATGCATTTACTCATTTACTCTATTAACTCTTGAGGGAGATGCAGCTTTACGAGGGGAAGCTAAGTTAACATGTCCGAGATGACCTTGCTCGCAAGTGGCAGAGCCGGGTTTGAACCTGGCAGCCTGACTCTCCAGCCTGGGGGTGAGGTGGGGCCACTGCTGGTGGCTTTGGCTATAGAAATGCTTCCACCTCTACCTCAGCTGCCCCCTCTCCACCCCAGCTCTGTTTCATCTCCCAACTCCCTTCTTTTTAAGTGTCTGCTTGCTTCACTGGGAAGGGCAGAGTCGGGATTTGAACGCAGCCATGTCTAATTCCAGATTCTCATCCAGCTGTTCCAGCTCTACTCTCCTGTGACCTTCTCCTGTCAGCACTGTGCCAGTGAGGGGTGTGGCAGTGAGTCAGGAGGAGCCAGTCACATCCCACGGGCCTGAGAGGGGGCGTCCGGGCCACCAGAGAGGCCTGCTTGTCAGCCACCAGGAATCTTCCATTCCCAACTCAAGCAGGAACCTTCTGTCTGACCCAGAGCACATCTGCTTCCCTTTGGGCTCTCTTTCTGCAGCAGAGAGAACAGAGTGGCTGACTCCATGTAACTGCCCCGGAATCTTCCAGAATCTTCCCTGCGAAGTACTAGAGAGAGTCCCATCTCCTAGCTCACTAGTCGGCAAACTGCGGCTCGCGAGCCACATGCGGCTCTTTGGCCCCTTGAGTGTGGCTTTTCCACAAAATACCAACTTCTGCGCATGGGCCATGAAGTTTCAATCGCACTGTATGTGCGTGCCCGCACGTGGTATTTGGTGGAAGAGCCACACTCAAGGAGCCAAAGAGCCACATGTGGCTCACAAGCCGCAGTTTGCCGACCACGGTCCTAGCTGATAAGCCTGGACCACGGGGGCTTCCAGAGAAATTGAAATAAGCAACTTCTTTAAAAGCCCTAAAAAAAATAAATAAATAAAAAATCCCTAGCAAACCAAGCTCCCTCCCTCCGTCCATCTTTTTTTTTTTTAATATATTTTATTGATTTTTTACAGAGAGGAAGGGAGAGGGATAGAGAGTTAGAAACATCTAAGAGAGAGAAACATCGATCAGCTGCCTCCTGCACACCTCCCACTGGGGATGTGCCCACAACCCAGGCACATGCCCTTGACCGGAATCGAACCTGGGACCCTTCAGTCCGCAGGCCAGCGCTCCATCCACTGAGCCAAACCGGTCACGGTTCCATCTGTCTTGATCAGCATCTCTTCATCTGTCGGTTCTCTGCATTGCCATCCCCCGGTGCCTGGCGTGGACCTGGCATCTGGGACAACCTGAAACGTCATGGTCACGTCTGGTCCAAAGCCTGCTGAGTGCTGAGGCTGCCTTCCTACGCCTTGGGACCCCCAGTCCCCACCACCGCGGGCCCCCTCATCTTCCTGGCCAGCTCACTCATCAGCCCAGGTCATAATATTAGCAGCTACTCATTTTGAACTTTACTCTGTTAGTCTCCCTGCTGCATGCTTGCACACGTGGTCTCATTTCATCTCGTACCCCATTGTGAGGAAACAGAGTCAGAAAGGTCCGCAGATGGACCAGGGTCACACAACAGGATTTAGCTGAGCTGAGGTTTGAAACCTGGGTCTTGATTTCTTTCTTTCTTTTTTTAAATTGATTTGAGAGAGAGAGAGTGATTTGTTATTCCACTTATTTGCATTCATGGGTTGATTCTTGTATGTGCCCTGACTGGGGATTGAACCCACCATGTTGGCATATGGGGACGATGCTCTAACCAACTGAGCTACCAGCCAGGGCAGAACCTGGATTTCGCTTCTCTTCTGGAAGGGGCTCCCCTGCCAGATTTGTGTCTGGGATAGCAGCATGGTGAAGGGCAAGGTACCATGAGCTGGACATCCTGGGGTTCAAGTGCTGCATACCAGCTTGTGCAGCCAGGGGCAAGCTGATCAGACACAGCCCCTCTGTATAATGGCGGTGGTGGTAGTAAGACCTCCCTTTAAGGCCGTTGTGAAGACTAAATGAGCTAATACATGCCGAGCACTGTGTCTGGTCCTGCCTGACACAGTGAGACTCATCGCCATTGCTCCTCTCAGAGTGCGCGCCCAGGGTTTGCTATGGGACCCCTGCACCTCCCTCCTGTGGGCAGGCCCGGTTGTCAGCTCCTGTGTATGGATTTCACAGCTGCTGACTCGTGAGATCGTGAATTTGCTGCAACGAAGACAGCGGTGGCTCAGGGCACACTGTTCACTTGAGTCCCGGTGTCCTGCTCAGGCCCCTGGGTGAGACCCAGGTGCTGACACCCAGCACAGTGCCCTGAGCCAGCAAGGCCTGTCCCTCCTCCGCACAGAGGTGCCCTGGGCCCCTGCGGTGGTCGATGCCTGGTTTCCCAGGACACTGAACCCCGGGCCTGATGGGGTTCAGAACTGGCTTTGTGCCTGAAATAAATGGGCGCAGGAGACTTCCAACTTGAGTGTGAATAACCTTGACCCTGTCTGAGGGAAACAGCTGTGCCCTCTATAGGCTCTGACATGGCCAGCCATTTGAAAAAGTAAAAACAGCAGATGTTTATCCTGGCCCCCTGGGCACGCTGGGTGCCCCCACTCCTGCCCAGGGCTAAGCGCAGGCCTCCAGGAGGGTCCCCATTGCAAAGCACTTCGCCATCTCAGCTCTTAACAGAAGATGGCTGTTGAACACACTACTTTGGGATTTAAAAAATCTGAAGTATTAATAGTTTATTTTTGGGAACAGTAAAAAAGAAAAAAATAGTTGGTTTTTATGCTGAGTTTAAAGTGACCTATATATACCCTGCTGGCTCCTGAGGACTGATCCTAAGAGTGCGTGGCCCCCACAGGGTGAAGTCAGGCAAGAAGCCAGTGGCTCCGCTGGGAGAATAAGCCGGCGGGTGTGTGGGGCCCTGGCCTCCCCCGGGGCCAGGTGGCCCCGCAGCCGTGACATGTGGCCTTGCCGGAGCAGGAGCCCTGATTGGTGGCCTTGCCTTGCACAGCCCTGATCGAGTCCCTCAACCAGAAACCACAGTCTGCCGGTGACCAGCCCCCACCCACAGACACGACCCACGCGACCCACAGGAAAGCGAGTGGGTCCGACGCCCCCTCGGCCAACGGGGAAGCTGGAGGAGGAGGCGAGCCCACCAAGGGCTACACGGCGGACCAGGTGGCAGCTGTGAAGAGGTAGAAGGCTGGCCTGGTGGCAGGGCGGGCTGGAGGGGGTGGGAAGTTTCAGGTCTAGAGCAGGCCTTGCGCCCTGTGCGTCCTCCACCTCTGCCTGTGGCCTGGGCGGGCCCTGGGACTGGCTTGAATGGAGCGGGTCCGAGCGGCCAGGCTCACCGGACCCACTCCTTATTCCCACAAGGCCCTGGAGTACAGTGTGGGAATCCGAGCTCCACTGTCCCCTCCCCCGAGACGGCCCACAGCAGGGGCTGAAATGCTGACACCGCGGGCTTCCTCTGCTGCTGGCCCAGTGGGCCTGGCCTCCTCACACAGCTCTGTTTGTCAGACAGAGATGGGGCATGGTCTCCCCCCAGGATTCTCCCCCAACCCACAGCCCCACCCCCAACAAAGACCCTTTCAGACCAGAGCCTGTGGGGTGGACTGGAGACAGGAGACAGTGATCTCTCCAAGGCTTGGGCAGGCCCTCGGAGCAGCTCACGTCCAGGCCGAGCGGCCCAGCCAAGCTTTCTTTTCTCCCCTCTCACTGGCCCTGGGACCTCCGAGGCCGTTCCCACGGTCCGGGCCGCTAGCGAAGACATCAGCAAGCTTCAGTGCTGGGTTCAGCCTGCGGAGCCGTGGCACGATGGTAGTTTGTCGTAAAAACGTGCCGGGTTTACATTATTATTCTTTTCTTTTTTTAATATATTTTACTGATTTTTACAGAGAGGAAGGGAGAGGGATAGAGAGTTAGAAACATCGATCAGCTGCTTCCTGGACACCCCCGACTGGGGATGTGCCCGCAACCAGGATACATGCCCTTGACCGGAATCGATCCGGGGACCCTTGAGTCCGCAGGCCGACGATCTATCTACTGAGCCAAACCGGTTAGGGCAGATTTACATTATTCTGACCAAATAGGGTTTTGACCGGACAAGCCTATCGGTTGTAGCAATAGAAACTGACTGTGGGGAGTTAGGAGTGCCTGGAAAAGTTCAAGAATCAGGGTCTCTTCAGGGCCCTGATGGGGTGAGCAGACCTGCCAGGGCCTTTATTTTTATTTTTATTTTTTTAAAATATATTTATTGATTTTTTACAGAGAGGAAGGGAGAGGGATAGAGAGTTAGAAATGTCAATGAGAGAGAAGCATCGATCAGCTGCCTCCTGCACACCCCTTACTGGGGATGAGCCTGCAACCAAGGTACATGCCCTTGACTGGAATCGAACCAGGGACCCTTCAGTCCCCAGGCTGAAGCTCTTTCCACTGAGCCAAACCAGCTAGGGCTGCCATGACCTTTATGTTGCCCATTCAAGACTCAAATTGTGAGAAGAGGAGATAGCTGGCCACGCTTGGGCACACCTGCCCTGGGGCAGAGGCCGGTGATTGGCAGTCCTTATGAGGTCCCCTGCAGGGAGGGTGCTGTTAGCAAAGGGAAGTGGTTCCTGGTCTGGCAGACACAGCAGCGGCCCCTCTTAAGCCCTAAATGTATTCTTGGTGTTCCTCTGGGCCCTGCTCAGATCCCCATCCCAGTCGGAGCTTCCTGGGGCTCCCTAACCCCACAGCCTGACAGGGTGTGCCCCTTGCCTGCTCAGAGCTGTGTGCTCGGGCTGCTGCTCTGCGCCCACCTCCCCTCATGGCCCCAGGCCCATGGGGAGCCCCCACCACACCTGTGTCCCTCCCCCAGGGTCAAGCAGTGTAAAGACTACTATGAGATCCTGGGCGTGAGCAGAGGGGCCTCGGAGGAGGACCTGAAGAAGGCCTACCGCAAACTGGCCCTCAAGTTCCACCCAGACAAGAACCATGCACCTGGCGCCACCGAAGCTTTCAAAGGTAAACCAGCCCTGGCGTCCTGGCACTTCAGTGTTTGTGTCTCGTCCTTGGAAGAGATGAGGGACTTTCCCAGGAGGCCCCCTTGGGCCCAAGTCCTACGGCTCAGGGGCTGCCTCCTGGGAGAAGGTCCTCTAGCCACCTCCAGCCACAGGGCCTGTCGGAGATCCGATCAGATGGCACCCTCCTGCCTCCCCTGCCTCCTCGTCCCCTGGGGCTAGAGGAGGGGGCGGAGGTGGAAGAGGCCCAGGGGCTCCTTGGGGCCAGTCCTGCATGGAGCAGTCTGCAGGCGTCACCCTGCTGCCTGTCAGTCAGCCCAGAGGAAGCGAGTGGGAGAAGGGAAGCAAGCGGCTGTGGTTTGTGTGTCTGCAGCCTGACCTCTGCCTGCAGCGCAGCCCACCCGGCCTTGGGAGGAGGCTGGCGTTCTCCTTGTTCCCAGGGGTCCAGCTTCTGCAGCAGGTGCAGCTCTGACCCACTCTGTGAGAGAGGGAGCAAGAGACTCGGGAGGCCCGAGCTGGGGTTCTCTGGAGCCCAGGCTCCCCACCTGGGAGCTCTGCTGGAGGCCCCAGTGCCAGGCAGAGGAACGGCAGCTGGGACCTGGACCCCAGGGAAGAGAGAGCTCCTCGCCTGGAGCCTTGCCCTGCCATCCCCCTGGCTTCCCGTTTGCCAGTGGGCATCATGTATCTGCTTGGCCCTGAGGTTGCACTGTGACCTCCACAAAGAAAGGCCCCATCCATCCACGGGCACCTCAGGAGAGGAATGGGGGAGGGGGGACAGAGGGGGTGGTTTTCATAAAAGCAAAGAGCAGACTGGAAGCGAGACCCCCTGAGTTTGCTTCCTGCTCTGCGACATCAGAGTCTGTGGCCGACACTCGGCCTTTCTGGCCTGTTTTCCTGCTGGTAACATGGAGATGGGCTGCTGTTAGGAGTAGCTGGGATAATGCCCACAAAGGGCCTGGCGTGTAGAAAAGGTGGGACTCTCATCATGCCGTGGGGAGTGAGGAGCCTGAGTGAGTCCCCAGGCTGCCGCATTCACTGCGAGGTGTTCCTGCCCGCCACCCCGCACGCTGCCCGCCACCCCCACGCTGGCCCAAGGACACCTGCCTCCTCAGCAGCCTCGAAGGCCTGCAGGAAGTGAGCTGTAGGGTGCGTGTCACCCACACGCCCAGCATCCCCAGGCCTGACCCTCTGCCTCCTTTCCAGCCATTGGCACAGCATATGCAGTCCTTAGCAACCCAGAGAAAAGGAAGCAGTATGACCAGTTTGGTGATGACAAGAGCCAGGCGGCCCGCCACGGCCATGGGCACGGGGACTTCCACCGTGGCTTCGAGGCTGACATCTCCCCGGAAGACCTCTTCAACATGTTCTTTGGCGGTGGCTTCCCATCCAGTAAGTCCCCTACCTCCCTCCCCACAGCCCGGCCTCACCAGGTGGTGGTGGGAGATCGGATGCAAGCCACTGCCTTTCCCGGCAGCCCCTCCTGACTCAGCCCCTCTCATCGCAGGTAACGTCCACGTCTACAGCAACGGCCGGATGCGCTATAACTACCAGCAGAGGCAGGACCGCAGGGAGAACCAGGGTGACGTGAGTGAGGAAGGGGCTGGGAGCGGAGGGGAGGGGGGCCTGGAGGGGCAGAGACAGGCTCAGCCGTCTATTCTGGGTGGCAGCGGTCCCACAGCCTCAGCGGAGGAGCCATCTTGGGCTTCCCTTGCCATTCTGCTGAGCGACACCAGAGGGAGCCACACTCCACGTTGCCCAGAGGAGTGGGCCTTCGATGGCCTCATTTGGAGAATGTAATGCAGAATGCTTTCCACCTACAGGCAGTTTGGGTGTGAACAGCCTTTGTGCAGTTCATTTGTTCATAAGGCCAACATTTTCCAAGCAGTGGAAAATTAAGCTTCATGGAAGAATTGTCAAGGATAACAATATTGGTGCTGACTCTTGTCTTTTCAGCACTGAAAAAAAATGTATGTAAAAGCTATAGCAAGACAATGCTTCCAGCACACTTTGAATGCCACAGAACAGCTAGCCAACTGAAATTAAAGCTGTGCACAGCTGCAGAGCATTTAAGATTAGGACAGTGTGGCCTTATGTTTTTGTTTGTTTATCTTTAAACTTTAATTTTGTGTATATTTAACATACAGAAGAGTTTTTAAATTACAAATTGTCACAAGGTGAACTTGTGAACTTTACTTTTCTTTATAGTTTTTTAATTGGCAGTTTGTAAATTGGTAAAAGATCCGTATGGTTTAACATTCAAAAAGGTCTGTGTCGTGAAAGCCTCCCTCCAGCTCCGCCCCCCATTTCTGGAGGCAGCCACTTTGCTCATTTTTTGGCCTTCTTTCCCCAATGTCTTTAACACCAATGGCTGTTTTGTTTTTATCTGGGGAAGGTGGCAGATGGAGGGGCCTCTGTATTGGGGGGGGTTATGGGGAGGGAAGGGAGAGAGTGGCGTCATGGCCTGGTTGGTAGTAACTGCCTCCTGCCACCTGGGCTCCACTGAGTTGGGGGAGCTGGTGGTGATTGTGGCCGATGCCGAACCCTCACCCAGGGCGGGCTTGGGTGACCATTGGCTCTTCCCTCCAGGGCGGACTGGGGGTATTTGTCCAGCTGATGCCCATCCTCATCCTCATCCTCGTGTCGGCTCTCAGCCAGCTCATGGTCTCCAGCCCACCCTACAGTCTGAGCCCAAGGCCGTGAGTACCTGTGGCTGCGGGGGAGGCCGGGTGGGGGCAGATGGGGACTTGGTGGAGTTTCAGCCACCATTGGGCCTTCCTTCCCCTCCTGCAGGCTCTTGGTCATAAAGCAGAAAGCGGCTTAGCTCAGGGAAATACATTTTCCCTGTTGAGCAGAAGTTCTTGATCTTTTTAGGATCAGGGCCCCCTAAGAAAATGCAGCGAAAACTGCAGATCTTACCCTAGTACAGCGGTTCTCAACCTGTGGGTCGCGATCCCTTTGGCGTCACCTAAGACCATTGGAAAACACATACATAATTACATATTGTTTTTGTGATTAATCACTATGCTTTAATTATATTCAATTTGTAACAGTGAAATTGGGGGTCACCACAACATGAGGAACTGTATTAAAGGGTCGCGGCATTAGGAAGGTTGAGAACCACTGCCCTAGAACCTTGTACCTACACACTTTTGCATATCATTCAACAGGCTTCATGACTCCCCACTCCCCCCTCCCCCATCTCATCTGCTGGCCTTGAGATCAGAATCTGCTCTGAGGTTCAGGGTGGGGGCTGTAGAGTCAGATGGAGCAAGGGTGGCTTTGAATTCCAGCTCCTCTACTAAGCAGTTGTGTGACCCTGGACAAGTTAAGTAACTTCTCTCAGCCTTGGTTTCCTTATCTGTAAAATGGGAACATCTGCCTGCATGTGAAAATAAAATGAGTAATACACATAAAATGCTGGGCTCGTTGGAAATGCTCAACAGTATTTGTTGAACAAACTTATGGTCCCAACTGCCAGTAGTGAACTTGGGCAACTTATTTGACCCTTTAAGGTGTCAGCACCCCTTGCCTATTTCTAGCACCTGACAGTGTCTGATACAAAGCGAGCACTTAACTTCTATGCGTGGAAGCCCTCTGCTCCCACCTAGCGGCGTGGCCCTGGCTGGGAACCTGGCAGCATCCTCTCGGCCAGCAGGGGGCAGAGTCGGGCCACTGGGTCCACACCAGCCTGCACTGTCCTCTGGCCGGTGGCAGGCTTTCCTCTGCAGCTGGAGCGATGACAGGCGCAGTGGGCAGGCAGGGGCGTCCTCCTGGAGCACCGACTCCTGTCTGTATTGAGGCTCTTCCCACAGCCTGTGAGCCTGCGGTTGGAGCTGGAAAGATACAGCTCTTTGGAATCGGAAGGTTGTTTCTAAGCCTCTAGACTGGGAGCTCCTGGCTAGGCAGGCAGGCCCTCAGCAGGGATTGGAGGCACAGGTTGCTCAAGTCACACAGCTCGTCAGAGAGGGAGCCCAGACTCACTCCAGGTTCCTGCTTCCCTGACTGGGGCCTCTCAGGAAGGGGCGTCTCCCCAGTGTCCCCCAAGTCCACGGGGTAAACAGGGAGCCTGTGGAGGGCTGGCCGTGGGCTGGGCAATTCGTGCAGGAGGGACACCCCACTTCGAGTGTGTGCAAGTTCCTGCGCTAGTGTGGGAGGGCCGTAACTACTCCTGTGGCCTGGGTGCCCCCATCAGGGGCCTCGCCATCCCCAGAGCTGCCCTGGGCCTGGGGCCCGTGCCCACTTGGTGCCCGGTGTACTCCTGGCAGGTCGGTGGGCCACGTTCACAGGCGCGTCACTGACCACCTGAACGTCGTCTACTACGTGGCGGACACCTTCTCTGAGGAGTACACAGGCTCCAGCCTGAAGACGGTGGAGCGGAACGTGGAGGACGATTACATCGCCAACCTCCGAAACAACTGCTGGAAGGAGAAGCAGCAAAGTGAGTGTGCGTGTGCGGGCACAGGGAGCTCGAGAACAGAGGAGAAAGCCCGACTCGCCCGGTGATTTGTGGGCCCTGCACCTGGCACTGCCCTGTGCCAGCCGCCTCCCAGCCCAAAGCCAGGTTCCACCCCGTTTCCCTGGAGACGCCCTCCCGGTCCTGTAAGGCGCTGCAGTCCGCCTGTCGTTCGGCTGCCAGAGGCACCTGTGTCGACAGAGATTGGAGCACCCACTGATTGGACATCGGCTCTATCTGTGGACCTTGGGGAGGCCGGACTAGGAGGACGGGCTCTGACCTTGGCCGGCCTCACCCCCACTCTCTAGAAAGGGGCCACTGTCCCCGCCCCAAGTTGGGACCAGTCTTTGCTCCTTCAGGGTCCTCCCTAAAGGTCCTCTGTCCCAGCTCCTGGGCCTGTCCCAGCCTTCCCTCAATCCCAGACCAGACAGGGGCCCTGGCGGCGGCAGGAGGTACCGGGAGTGCCCTAACCCTGCCCCGTTGCTTTGCAGAGGAAGGCTTGTTGTACCGGGCCCGCTACTTCGGCGACACCGATATGTACCACAAAGCACAGAGGATGAGCACCCCAAGCTGTAACCGCCTGTCAGAGGTGCAGGCCTCCCTGCATGGATAGTCCTGGGCCAGCCACACGACCGAGGTCCAAGTATGAGCCAGGGCCGCCTCTGCCCTGCAACTCCCAGCAGCTCTGGCCCTGGTCATGAGGCCTCGGAGGGTGGGAGGGAGAGGGGGAGGCCTCTGTGATGGCACAGACGCCTTGTCCCCAGCCTGACCTCCAGCTGCAGAGTTCGGGCAGCTCGGGGGTGTGCTTGGAGACTGAGGTCTGCTTCCGGCCTGTACTCTTCCCCCCCGTCCCCCTACTCCCTGGCTCTGGGGCTGGAGCTGTGGGGTCCCCAAGCAGAAGGGGAGCCCGAGGCTGCCGCTGAGAGCCACTGGTGCCTCCTTGGTGTGCTCCAGCCATCTGGTCACCACGGCCCTTCCCCCAGTGCCGCAGACTATTGTCTGCACCCTGGTGTTAAGCCACCAAATACCCCTGGGCCCACGGGAGCCCCCACAGGGAGAGCCAGGTGGGAACGGGCGGGCCAGGAGCCCTGCCTCTGCCTCTGCTCTCCGGGCAGTGGGACATGGAACAAGATGGGAGCCCAGCAATGGGCAGGAGGAGCCATCAGGCTGGGGCAGGAGAGGCCTGTGCATCTGACCGCTCCCTCTGGCAGGAGCAGGGGCTGGCTCTCTGTGTCGCTCTCGTCTGTCGGTCCGTCACTGTCTCTCTTGTCTGTCTGTCACTGTCTCTCATGCTACTGCGCCTGCCGCCTGGAAGCCACAGGGATCCGCCGCCCAGGCTTCTCACCTGTGGCCTGAAAAAGGGAACAGGAGGCCATGAGTTTAGGGTCGAATGCAGAGCCCTCAGCACAGGGGTGGGGGAATGAGAGCTGCTGGTATCTGACCACCAGCCTCCTGTGCCCCTGCGTGTGGGTAGCGGGCTCTGCTTCCGGCATTGCCAGAGGGGACAGCTTGGATCAAGCCCCAAGGAGTGTGGGTGGGGCCGGGAAAGTTCCTTTTCGTGTCGGTGCCTTGTCCATCCCTTTGCCTGTGTGCCCTCAGCAGAGATCCAGGTACAGACTCTCTGCTTTGAGGCTGTTTGCTTGTGCCTCCAGGAGAGTGGAACAGACGGCAGGAGGGCAGTCGGGTGCAGCTCAGGTGGGAAAGACAGAGGCGAGGAGGGCTGCCTGTTCGTGTGGGCGAAGCTAGAGACCCCGGACACTTGACTGCGAGCTAACTGTCCCGCTCTCCTCCCCAGACCATGAAATCCCTGGAGAATTTTTGGTGACATGCACTGAGCCAAGGTGATGAACTGTATATTTAAGGAAAGACATAAAAAAGGAAAAAAAAAACATTAACATGGATTGGAGGCCGAACGCCACAAACTGTCCTCTCTCACCCAGTCACTGCAGAAAGCTCAGGACAGCCAGGACACCTGCACGGGCTGCTTCCCTTCCTCCAGGCCGGCCGCGCGCGGGCTCCACATCCCTCTCTCCTAGGATACAGAAACCATGGCAACAGAAGCAGAATGTAAAACTTAGCAAATGTCTCTGGGAAGGGCTGGGGGAGGGGACCCCACTGCCTCTCCCCCTCCCAGGAGCCACCACCAGTCCCCTCAGTGGAATCCAGTCAGAGGCGTAGGCCAAGGATAGAGAGGAGGAGGAGGAAAGAGACTTTCCAGAAATGTAATTTATAGATGCGCGTATATGTATATATATCTATTTATATGTAAATAGCACATATAAAGATATATATAGATATATAGTCTACTTTTTAAACTGCAGGGATTTGGTGAATTATTTAGCTGATTTCTTCCCTGATTTAGAAAACGGACTGTTTGGGGGAGGCAGCCTGGTCCTTCACAGGCTAGACCTTAGCCGTAGCTGACGGCGGAAGGAAAGTCGGTCAGAGCTTCTAACATTCCCCTCAACCCCAGCCTGGCTTGGATGGCAGCAGCAATCATGGTCGTGTGAATCTTAGGACACTGCTGAAGATTGCCAGGTTTACGGTTCAGCTGGAGGGGAGAAAGTGCCCTTAGGGCCAGGTACCAGGCCAGTGCTGGTCCTGGGAGAGGCCCCAGATGGCCCTCTGGGGTGAGACCACCCACCTCAAGCTCTGGCCAGCTCGATGGGCTCTGTCCTGATGCCCAGGCGCCCCCTGACCCCCTGACACCCAGAAGAGCAAGGCGGGAAGAGGGACCAGGTTCTGCCTAGCCACGCCCCCCCCCCTCCCCCGTCCCTGAGTGAGTCTTGCCTTATAGGTGCCACAGGGCACAGCTCCGTGTTGCCACTGGTTTTTCCTGAGTCGCGCGCCAAGGACTCCAGAAGGCTCTTTCTCCAAGAGCCAGCCAGCTGGTCCAGGCCCCCCAGGCGGCAGCTGACTCCTGAAAGCCAGCGCCTGTGGCCCCTCTGTCTCTGCCTCCATGGACATGAAGCCACCCAGCCTTCTCCTGCACTTGGGACAAAGGACGCATCCGAACAGAAGGGTTTCTCATCCTCACCTTCAAATGAGGATTTTTTTTTCTCCAAACAGCAGTTGCTGCCAGGGAGGGGGAGGGAGGTTGTATTTATCCCCGCAGTGTCGACTGGGTCTTTTGGACTTGCCATCGTCCTCCCGAATGGTCCTCTGGCGCTAGGTGTACCCTCCATCGAGCCTGCCACCTCCCAAAGCCTTACTCCCCCACCGGCCAGCGAGGAGGGCTCCCCCCTCCCGGAGTCCCCCTGGCTCTTTTTTTAAAGCCCCCACCAGACAGGGTTCTTTCTGGGAAAGGACGCTTGGTGAAGGAACGCCAGGTCTGGTTTCTGAACAAGATCCTGCCCTGTGATGGCACAGCCACCGGCCCCGAGAGATGTTAAGAGCAGGACGTGGGCAGGAGTGCCCGTCACGCAACCCTGGTGCTCCGGCCCACCGCCCGACGGCTGGCCTTGGTAGCTGTCCCCAGATGGGCTGAGCCATGTGCAATAAGAACAGAGATCCTAAAGGATCCCCCGAGAAGCTATGTACTTCTTGAATTAGAATTCTGAAATTGTACATCTATAAATAAGTTTATTATGTGATTGGCTGTGGTGGGTCTTCATTTATTATGTGATTGGCTGTGGTGGGCAAGGGGGCTAATGTTGGGGTGCGGGGGTTCCACGAGCACCTGTTGCTACTGACATCCCACAAGGAGGTCTTGGTGACGCGCCTGAATGTCCCCCTCACCCCTTGCCCCAGCCGACAGCCACTCGGGTCACCAGTGTGCCAGGGCTGACTGCGTCCAGGCAAAGGGTCAGGGACTCAAGCCAGGACCCTGGGGTCTCCCACGCCCCTGGGCGGGCAACTGGGCCATGATCACAACCTCTGCTTCTCCCAGCTCTTGCTTCCTCCCGCCCCTCGAACCCAGCTGTGAGCAAACGGTTCCGAATCTCCCTTCTCAGCCCCGGCTCTAGCTTCCCCCGTGCAGGGCCAGGGAACAGCTCTCCCGATCTCCACCTCTGGCTGCAGTCCTCCCGGCCATCCTTCCCGCACCACCCCCACAGCCCGTCCCCTCCCCCAGGAGGTCGGAAAAGTTAAAAAACGAGGCAGCTCCGGCGGGGCTTCCCGTGGAGGGAACGAACGGCAGATCTGCCCGGGCCTCCCAGAAACAGGGCCCCGCAGCCCTGACTGGCGGCCTGAGGCCCCT